AATTCACCGACTTCTGTACTGGCCCAGAACTACTTGGGCTGTTATGGGTGCACCTACAGTTTAGCCCAATAATGCTTTTGTTGGCTATATATAGTAATATCTCGAGTTACCGATCAAAAAATAATATCTCGACTTAGATATGGAAAACCTTAATGATGATTCATAATGATGCATAGTTCGCTTGAGCACGACATATAATAATCTACTAGTGTGTACCCCGTGGGATGCACGGAAACAATATTAAATTAACAATATTATAAATAAACATCGAGTTTGAGTCATTCAATGGCGAAAGTGGAAACTACTATTGATCCCATTTAAAAAGAGTAAGAAAGAAAATAATTATAAATTAAAGAGGAGGGTAAACAATACTTAAAAATTATAAATTAAAGATTCGGGGTCAAACAATGTAAAATTATTTTGTATAAGAGAATATAAAAAAATTTGATTACACACCATCTTATATTTATACTTTTTTGTATGGTTAGCTTATAATATTTGTAAAAATATTAATAATTAGACCGATGAAAATTAGCTTCTTAAAGTAGATAATGGATTTCTAGTAGTAATTATGAATTGGTTTTTATTTTATTTTATTTTTTCTTTTTAAAGATAATGGATTTCTAGTAGTAATTATGAATTGGTTTCTATTTTATTTTATTTTTTTAAATCTGTATAGATAAGGGATGATATTTTTTAAACACGTGAGACGTATGCAATGGGATTTTGTAACAGAAGAAATAAACAATGGGATTTTGTAACTCGTGTAGATTTATACTAAAAATAGGAAAAAAAAAATATATTTATTGTAAAATAACGGTTTTGATAAACTAAAAAAAGGGAAAAAGAGAAACAAATTTTTACACAATTAATGAGCTGATTTTTTTGCCTATTTAGATTTGTCCAACAATTACTATATATAGAATATATTTAATGATTTTGGCGGAAAAAAGTTTCTAAATTTGTAAAAAAGTTATTATTTTTATATAATGATAGATAATGCTAAGTCCTTTTTATTTTATGGTGCTTGTTGACTTGTTGGTAGGTCCTTTTGAGTGAGTGACAATTTTTATTTTTCGCATTTTTATCAAATTTCAAGGGATACATGTATTGTTACAATTCTTTTATGCCACTTTGTGTTTGTATTTCATCTACATGACTGGTATAATAGTATTTGTAATAGTTAGAGTGTGGTTAACATAATTTTGTGATAGGATATATTTGTTTTTGATTTATTTTCTTGGTTAACCGTAGTTATTTTTAAAAACGTTTGTTGGGTTAATATAACATTTAAAATAAAATAATTAAATTAGTTGAACTGATGTAAAAGCAAGAGATGGGTGATTAAAAGTTATGGATAGATAAAATTATGTAAGTTAATGAATAGTGAATTAAAGTTGATGTTTGAGGATTATTGATTGGTATTATTTAATTGTATTTTTAATATTGATGATGGTAGAGTTGAGTTAAATTTTATTTATATTTAAAAAAAGTAATTAGTGAAAAATAATTGAAAATGTTTGGATTTTTTATATCCAATAACACCCTTAAAACCCGTATATCACATAAGTCGTATTTGGAAAACATAGTCATCCCCCTTTATATATTAATTCAAAATGTGATGAACTTAAATGGCGGGCTCGTGAATTTCAAGAACTTGTTAAAAATTTGTGTTTCGTAATTTATTTATCATAAATTTGTGTTTTGTATTGATACATATGCAAACTTGGTTTTAACAATTCAACTTGAGAATTAACATAAAATTATTTTATCTTTTTTCCGTAAATTACCTTATATTACCATTTCTTTCACTTAAAATTATGATATATTAACTTTTATTTTCTTATTTGATTCATATATTAATTACTATAAATATGTGTTCTTCTTATCGTTTCAAAATTACTATAAATATATTAATTACTATAAATATATTAATGTTATATATATGTTTCATTTTTAATATATGATTAAAAATTATTCATCTTTTAACGACTTTTAATTTGACATCTACGTACATAATAAAAAAAATTCAGACATCTTATATAGACTTGTCCTTCAAAGTTAGACTCGAGTCTCCTAAACCGATTTTTCGTACTCATTATCACTGTGAATAGTGATCAGAGCACTTGTAGTTTAATCATTTCGGCTCCCGCGAGCTTTTATATCGTTTTTCTTTTAAAGGAAAAAATCAAGAGAGACAACCCAAACTTAATATAAGCATCAACAATACAAAACCTAACAGGGGACTCAGTTAGAGCTTTGGCCAATCGGGCTACCACAAGGGCCAAAATAAAACTACCGATCTGAGTCATGTGTCCCACACAACACGTCATCAAACGACTTAAAACACCTGGATTCAATTTATTAACCCACACACAAGAAGAAAAAAAAAATACTTCTATCATAATTCATATATCAATAATAATAATAATAATTAAAGAGTGCATAATCCAACGATAAACACGAACAACCATATCAACCTATCAGTCAATATGCATGTAAATATGATATATGTCACGCCGCACCTGTGCGACAGGAGCTCCGTTTTTTCTTACTCGACCCAACGAACTCTTTGAGTTCTTGCTTGCATAATGTATGATTATAAATTATTTGTCTTATTCAAACATTCATCAAATACAAAATATTTGTGAATTCAACAATATTTGAATTATTTAAACTCAAATTCGAGTTACATAAACTCAAATTATTCATGCTTTAACATTATAATTAATTATCATTTATTCTAAAATTACTTTAAAATTTTGTTCTAAATCTTCCACTTACAAAACCAATTTTTCTTACAGCAGACTCGTTTGATGCACCCTTTTAAAATCATAAAATATAGAATAAATTCTTACTTCAAATGTTAGGAAATATTTGTTACAAATAATTCCAATAAAAAAGACCACCGACGATCACCACCCAACTCTTCTCTTTCACCACACACACTATATGCGTGTGAACTGTGATCTGCTCACATGTAGTGCCATTTTCGAACACTTATGAATGAAAACACCTACCAAAATTATAAAACAATGCACATTAATGTAGTTATGTAGAGTGAGGTGGTGTAGCAGAGCAAAAGTGGATAAAACCATTGTTGCTTTCATGTCAAGTGACCTAAAAAGCACCCAAATTTAAAGGGGAGCAAAAGCATATTTCTTGCTTGTTCATTTGAGTGCATCTACTTTTTTGTTGAAAAAGTAGCTGTGAGCCTGTGAATTATATACTCTCACAAAAAGAAAAGATTTTGAGAGATGGGCTCTGCGAATGTTTGCGAGATGTGGAAAAGCGACGCACCAGATCTGTGAAGAAGATAAGGCAAGATTTGTGTTCTTTTTTTTTGCTGTTTTTTGGGTAAGCTATTCCTTTTTCTTAATTAATTGTAGCGTTTTAATTTATTTATTTTTTTCTTATTTTTCCTGCAACTCTGTGTGTGTGCGCGCGCTTCCTTTTGCTTATTGATGTTCAATCTGAGATTTACATTCTCGAGAAAAATTATTGATTTAAATTAGTTCTTGGGGAAGAGATGCTTAGAGATGAACATGGGTTTTAGCTAAACTCAGTTAGTTTGTGTTTGGTACAATGTTTACTAGGCTTGCATTGCATGAAGCATTTATTATTGTTGTTGTTGTGTGATATGGGTTTGCTTATTGAGATTTTCTTGAACATTATATGCAGATTTTGTGTGATTCTAATTGTAAAAATTGGGTTTTTGATATTAAAGGCTAGCCTGGTTTGCCTGAAATGAAGCAGTGAATTGTTCTGACTATAGAATACCAGCTTGGATTCGACAGATTATACCTCAAGCAGATGCTTAGCAAGTTTGTATTTCAATTTCACTTGTTTAATTCTAAATTCACCATTTGATATTCTTATCATTCATTTTTGGCCGAAATTGAAATGGAAGTTCTTGAAAATTATAGACTTTGTAATATTTCCATCCCTGGCATTTTCAGTTGTATCTTTCAATTGCTTGTTTAGATTTACGCTACATTGGTGTGTTCCCGCTGTTAAAATCCCACACTTCATTCATATCTCTGATGCAAAGAAAAAATCAGAAATTTAGAGTTGCAATACCAAATGTTCAATAAGTTCATGGATAGAGAGAGATTGCCCACAACGTTTATACGAAAATTGAAATGAAATATGGTATTTCATGCTTACTATGGTATTTTGTGAAGTTATGTGTATCCTGTACAGTGTTCTGCTTGATGTTTTCCTAAAAATTTGCACACAGCATGTATATGTTTTTGTTTTACACGTCACAAATGGATCTAAATCTATATCATCGGCTATTTCAATTATTGCAAACCTAATAAGTTAAATCGACATCAATGGATTAATTGCAGCCACTGAAAAACCGATCTTCGAATGGAAACTTCCGGACCCGACGCTGACCGCATAAGCTCAAATGACTATGCGGCATTGGGATTAAAGGACTCGAGAAAGGACAATATAGGAAATCCTCGTATCTTGTCACTTCTTGGAATGTTACTGGAAAAATCTGTTCAGAAAAATGAAAGATTATTCGAGACTTCGCAAATTAAGGATGCCATTACCATTTTTCATGGTTCGAGAGCACCTGCTATTAGCATTCAACTGTATATCGATCGTATTTTCAAGTATTCTTGCTGCAGCCCATCTTGCTTTCTCATTGCACACATATATATGGAGAGATTTATTCAGCGCACGAATTTTTTCCTGACTTCTCTCAATATTCATCGGCTTTTAGTAACCAGTGTGATGGTGGCTGCAAAATTCATGGATGACTCGTAAGTTAGTTAAAGCAAGTTCTTTCATTTAGACTATGTTTAGTAAACCTAGCTGATAGTTTTTAAGTGAATTCCGAGCTTATAGCTGATAGCTTATGACTTATGGCTGAAAAGCTAGCTTATATGATAAAAGTATTTGGTAAAATTAGCTGATAAGCTAGCTGAAACAAAAATTTTAATGGGTTTGATTTAAAAAGCTACTCAAGGAAAGGAAGGTTGTGAGATAAGCTAGAACTTTTGAGAAAAACTCGTCCTACCAAATTAAGCTTATTTGAATACAGGAAGTTTATAAGCTAATCAAATAAGCTATAAGCTAGCTCAGATGCTTACCAAACACAACCTTAGCAATTAATTAGTGTATGCTTTATTTATTCTTGTTCGATTGATCTTGAATCTTGTGCACTCTCAGCTTCTTCAACAATGCATATTATGCAAGAGTCGGAGGTGTGAGCACTTCAGAAATGAACAAACTCGAAAAGAAGTTTTTGTTTTCGCTTGATTTTCGACTTTATGTCAACGTGAACACTTTTGGAAAATATTGCTCTGTTTTCAAAAGGGAAGGCTCGAGTGGTCGAATCGAGCGCCCAATCAAGTCGTGTGGAGTGGAAGAGAGTTGGACGAATAAAGACGACCCGGCTCATGGTCAGTCGACAGCTAGATAACCGAAAAAATGTGTTGATAAAGAGAAAAGTGAGCGATTTTTTTTTTTTTAATGATTTTCCTTGGTACATTACAAGAGGAGATTGAATGTGACTATGTGAGAATCATGAGAATGGGCTGTGAAGAATTGTAAGGGTTCCCTTGTTTGTTGTAGTAAGAATGTGTTTGGGATTTAAGAATCATGAAAATTGTTAGTGCTGAACTTTTTAAGGCTTACCTTGTTTGTTGTAGTAAAGGAAATGTGTAGATTTTCTTCAGTTCTTGAGTTTCTATTGAGTGGTGGTGTTGGTTTTGATGAGGCATATAAAGCTTGGCNGCACTCTTTGTAGTGAGAGGACCTTGAGTTTCTGAAAATTTAAAATGTTAAAGAGTCAACAAAGATTTAGAGCCTCATAATAAGTTATATTTTAGTATTGTTTTTATTTCCTTTTTTATCATTAAGCCCTATATATGGATAACTTCTGAAAAATGATGATAAGGTATCTTGTAAGTTCTTCAAAATAAACTATGCCAAAGTACCTTGATAATACAATCTATGTAATTTACATCTGGGATATAATATAGAAAAATTAAGAATGTGTTTGTTTATAAATATACCAAAAAAATTTCCAATTTCAACTAATTATCTAACTCAACTCCACTATCTTTAATATTATATAAATCACATTTAATTTTTCATAATTTAATTTTATTTCAAATTGATGGAGTAAGAAATTTATTATGCTTTAATTTTTACCATTTTGTCTATTTAAATCAATTTACAATCCATATTTAATTGAATAGTAAATTATGTAGGTCTAACGGTTGTACAACGTTACTTTTCCAATAGAGATAAAAAATTTCAAATTAAAACACGAGTATATAAAACAAAATACACAAGTTCAATGCATAACTAGTGTATATCCCGTGCGATGCACGGAAGAGTTCATATTTTAAATATTTTTTAGACTTTATTTTAAATATAATTATTTATATTTTTCACATCTCGTCTATTATGAAAATAAAATAAATACAATCAATGAAAAATATATAATATTAAATACTTTTCTTTATACAATATTTTTTATTTAAGGAATATTATTAAACCTTACGGTTTTGATTTGTTTTTTTAAATCACTAATCCAAAATATATGATTGTTAACGTACAAAAAATAATGGAAATAATCCAGACTTTAAAGTAAAGCTATTTTTTATTATTTTACAAATAAAAATCTTCCAAATTTTTTTTTAATTTCAAAAAAAAATTGGCAAGTTTGATAATGAGTTAAATCAAGTTATACAAATGATTAAATAGTTAAAATGTTATATTAATTATATTTTAAGAAATCCAATTATATAAAAATGGGTAAAAAAACATTATACTAATTAGTTTGTTAGGATTGTGATTATATGGAAGTTAAAATAAAATGAAATTTAACCAAAAAATTTATTCGTGGTTTTTTCCTAAATGTTTGAATTTAAAATCTAGTAACCAAATTTACATTATATCACGTAAGGAAAAAAAATAAATAATAAATATTTATTAAAGAGATAAATCAATAATATTTATCACTTAGATAATAAATAATAAATATTTACATGTAAAAAAATAAATAATAATATATTTAAAAATATAAGTCAGAATTTCAAATAAAGTAAAAGGAGAGATAATTCATTTTTTAAAAAAGTTTTTAAATATTTAATATATTGATAAGTATCTCCATAAGAATAATCATACCATTTTAATTTAAAAAAAATTGGCAAGTTTGTTAGAGAGATAAATCCGGTTAGACAAATGATTAATTTGTTAAGATATTATATTAATTGTATCATAAAATCTCGGTTAGATAATGTAGATAAAAAATATAATACTAATTAGTTTGTTAGAAATGTGATAATGAAAACCAAGATAAAATGAATTTACCCAAAAAAATTGTTTGGAATCTTTTCCTTTAAATGTTTGAATTTACAAATTTAATACCGAAATTCTATTATATCACATAAGGAAAAAATAAATAATAAACGTTTATTAATATATTAAAATATGTAATTTTGAATTTCATATAAAGTAAAAGGTATGCTTATTCAAATTTATTTTTAAAATAAAAGTTATGATAAATATTTATTGATTCTCTTTCAAATATATTAATAAAATAAAAATATAAATCTAAACAAATTTTGAAACAACCAAAAAAATCGGATTGATTGGCATAAAAAAAGGAAGTGAAATCGGATTTGAATGCTAAAAGATTCGATTTGATTGGTTACCTAATTGCATGGGCTGAAAAAATTCAAAAAAAAAATTTTACGAATTGAAGAAGCGGGAAAACGAAATGATTATTTTCGGATTGTTCAAATAATTTTTCTTCTCCGTATTATATAGTAATAGATAACACGAACATGCATGCTTCCATTGATGTCGGAAGTTCGAAAAGGCTAAAGATATGTTTATTTATAAATTTTTTCAATCATACTCAATTCAGACTCATAATCTAATTCAATTTAACTTAATTCAACTATTCTCAATATTATTAAGAGGAATTTGCACATTTTACCAACAGTTATGACTTTTATTACACTTATATGTCTCTTATATTTTTATTTATAAAATTGCCTTACCAAACAAAAAATATTTCAATTTTACCTGATATTAAGATGGAACCGTTATTACCTTATTTTCAGGCATATTAAATGCAATCCCTCCCTAAATAAAAGGCACTCACCCGTTTTCACTCCATTATTACTCTCATTGAAGAGAAAAAACTAGGAAAGAAACAGAAAAGCAAAAGAAATCTCACTATTCAATTGTAACGAACGGGGAAAAGGGCAGTATTCTTCTTCAATTGCATCAAATTTGTGTCCCTTACACTGTCCAGTGAAATCGACACTTCCCTGCCCGCTGACCCCATTTTTTTCCCCCCTTTTTTCCAGTATTTCCCAATTTCTTCACATTGTAATATATCCGGCGGAGTCAGCGAAATCATAATCTTCGGGGTGAAAGTCAAGGTTGATCCAATGAGGAAGAGCTTGAGTATGAACAATATGTCCGAATACGAGCCTGCTTGCAAGGACGGCGGCAGTAGAGATGCACCAAGGGCTGCGGCGGTAGATGGCAGCAGCACGGGCTACGCAGCCGCCGACGACACCGTGCCCCGGGCCTCTAACCGGAACCGCGAGCGCAGGCGAGGAAAGATCGGTTTTTTTTATCGTTTTTTCTTCTTCGATTTCATTGTGTGTGTGTGCTCTTGTTAAATTGAATTGTTTTTTTTTTTTTTTCCTGGGTTCAGTGGGTGTTTGAGAAATTTTCAATTCTTTTGGCTTTTGTGATTTTTTGTTTATATTTTCAGGTTCTAACTCGACGGCGAACACGTGGTTGGAGGCATTGCCGACGGTGGTGTTGAAGAGACCGAGGTATTCTGGGNGAATGTTTATTCATAATTTATGTTTGGTATATTATAAGATTTTTTTTGTTGAAAAACGAAATTGGCAAATGAGCAATTTGTTGTTTTGGTATATTAGAAGATTGTTGTAACATTTACTGAATATAAGTAACATTTACTCACAAAGCATAAATTGCTTTTTTTTTTTATTTGGTATATGTATGGTTTATATTCAATATATTTTCGGTATATGATAAAAAAATTTATCGCGAGACGTAATCTTTATGTATAAAATCAATTTGTATCCAGCATAAACTGATTTTTGTTGTTGTTTGTTGAGTATATCTATGGTTTATATTAAGTTACCTGTTATAATATGTTTATAAATTATATATATATATACTTTTACGTATAAAAGTTAAAATAAAAACAATAAGACATAATTTTTTATGGAATACATGTTTTTAATTACAACATATACTGAATATATACCAACATAAACTCAACATACACCCAATTGGACAGCAGCGTGAATTACAAAACATGTTTTTATTTCTCTGAATATATACCAACATAAACCCAACATATACCCGTTGTCGCGATTATGAATTATTGTCGATGTGACTCCGATCGATCCCATAGTCACGATTATGAATACTCAAAAATATGTGGTTTTGAAAATACGATAAAATTACATAAATATACCTCGATTTCTATCGCCCGTGAAGTCACGATTTTCTGTAGTATATATACGATAAAATTACATAAATATACCTCGATTTCTATTGCCCGTGAAGTCGCGATTTTCTGTAGTATATGTTCGGTGAATTATTGACGATCGATCACGTAGCNTGAATTTGAAATGAAGATTCTGTTTTTTTTTTTTTTTTTTTTAATTTTCTTGGTAGTTCACGGCGGAAATCACGCCATTATCAATTGGATGGAGGACGTTACAAAGTAACTGATATTTAGGCAATCTCATAAATAAAAAATCTTGATTAGGTATATCTCCTATTACTTGTTCAATGAAGGTAAGCTTGAAAATTCTTTCATATCATGTAGTAGGTGTGAATTTTCCCTATTATCAAACAATAATAATCATTCATTCTTAAACATCACATCAACTTTAATACACTATTAATCTACTCACATAATTTTAACTATCTATTACTTACAATCATCAATCTCATACTTTTTACAAAAAATTAATTTTAATTATTTTATTTTAAATATTATTTTTATATAAGCTTAAAATCCCACTAACAAACCATACCAATCTTTTTTAAAATCAAACATAGTTAACCTAAAAAAATCAATTAAATACCAATATATTTGTAAAACAAACAAGCCCTACAGTACACTTTTTGATGACATAAGATAGAGAAATAAGCCTAACATGTAACATTGCAAGCAGTGAAATTCTTTAAGAACTTTTATCATTACAAATGAGTATGTAACTAAGAGGCGTTTAACGAGTCTAGACAACAAATAGCCTCTTTAATATGTCAACTAATACACCAACTCTGACAAAAATGAATCAATTTCTATACATTTTCACAGGCATAATATTACTACTTTACTCAGAAATAGCATCAAAACTTCTAAACCTCAAAACAATATGCATGCATTCATTGTGCACTAATTGGCCTCGTAAGCAATCGAACAAAATAGTTTCGAATCTCAGGCAGGACTCGCTGGATCAGCTGCGGATACCTGCATATACCAATAATCGATGAGCACAAATGGTGAACAATAGCCAATTTTTCAGCAAACCACTGAACAGAAAGAAGCAAATGTAGCTTTTCTTAAGGGAGCTATGGCAAAATAAACAAATTATCATAAGGTCTAGTGTAATTTTCCATCCAAAATGTCTGTTTACTTTTTTTATTATGTAATCATAAGCACAAGTCTAAATTCTTGATATTTGAAAACACAATGCAGAGCAAACAAACAATATCAAATGAGAAGTCGAATTAAGGGATGAAATGAGACATACCAGGGCACATTGCATAAACTGTCAAACTTTTCTAGAATAAACAAGATACATGCATGCCTCAAGGACAAAGCATTATATGCCTCGGACAACTCAAACATTAGAGACACATTCTCCACGGATATATTCTGAAGAAGAACAAAAAAAAAAAAAAATGAATATTGAAAACAAATAGAGATGGAATATCAAATACGTCAGACAAATTAAATATAGCTTTTGTAACCAGATATTTACCTGTGCAATCGCATATTCACATAGACGCTTTAAACCTTCTAACAAATACTGATCAGCAGCCATCAGAAGGTCCTCAACAATATCTAAGTTGACATCAACGGCCCCTGTGTATATGTATCTACAAACCAAAAAGAAAAACAAAAAGAAGATAGTTCTAAGCTATGGCCTGGGAATGAGAAATAAAAGGCTATTTTACTAATAGAACTGAATGTCTATTTCACCTCATCATCAACTCAAAAATATCCCATCTGATATTAGGAATTTCAATGTCCTTGGCATCTCTTTCCTGCAGCAATTTAATAAATTTCAGTTCTGATAATTTAACAACTTCAAAGAATAGAACAGTCACAGGGTTAAATATCAGTTTGATTTTTCAAATGTAAACATAAGAAATGTTCCTTAATTGCAAAATATTGTGTAATACTTGCTGGCATATGCTTTCATGTTGGCAGGCTGAAAGCAAAGGATAACCAGATTGAATATGTATTTTTACATTAGACATACACTCACCCTGTAACCACCATCAAACATAGCCCTGAATGCATCACAAGAAGCTAGCAGACAAATTCGGTGCGCATAGAACCGTTTTCCTAGTGATGACAATAAAAAAAATGTTACAATAGAAATATGATAATGCAACATTAATTTGAAGTTGGGTTCAATGTCCAACCTTCAACCAAAAATGTTACATCGGACAACGTGGGATTATTCACAAACTGCTCCCCCAAATACACCTGCAGCAGAAAAGAAAATAATCCTTCAGTATAGATTTGATATATTGAAATTACTTCACATTAGTGATTAAATAAGGTCACAGCTCCAACGTATGCATCATTCATAAGAAGCATTCAGTCAATAATTACACAAGTATAACAAAGTCACGAATCTAAGTTTTAAACAAAATTACATTAAAATATTGTTTGCAAGAAGGTATGTAGCATATGTTAATTGCAAGCTGATGGAAAGATCAGTTCTTACTCTGAAAATATGGAATTTCATTATAAATACCAAATCAAAGTAAAATATATTGACTTCCACTAATACGGACATGGTTTCAAAAAAATTCAGTCTCGCAAAGAGGGAAGTGTATGTAATAGTAACAAAGAATAAGGCTTGCACTGCATGGAAGACAACATTCCTATAGGAAGTATAAAACATCCAACATCAGATTTTCCTGCAGAAACAGGTTCCTCTCCTCCTTAAACCAGCTATGCAACACCAAGAAAAATGACCCCACATGACTCTAAAGCTCACATCTTTAACTTCAAACCAAGTAGGACCACAAGTTTTTGTATGTTAAAAGCAACATTAGGGGATGAAGAAAGTTATATGCTGGCTGCCAACTGCCAACTCTCTTTTATCCAGGCTTGGGGAAAGCTGTATATAGGCAGGTTAAATTGTCTATAAACAGGTAAAAATCCCCATTGGCATTTCTACATAAAATGTGAACTAATCGATCATAGACTATCACAATATGGCAAGACAATTTCAATTCTCATCCAGAGACAACAAATTATCACCTGAGGTATTGGGGAAGGAGGAGCCGCATCCATTAGAGAAAGTGAGTTGGCTTTATCAGCTAATCGGCATAGAGCCATAGAACAATCTCTTTGATGCTTTAAATTAGTTGACACAAGGAGCTCCAAAAGCAAATCCAGTCCTGCCACAATCATATAGTTGAGGAACAGGTGAGTTATAGTCATGATTCACCACAGAAAGTATAAATGTATGACATATGGTAAACAGCATACCATTGTTATCAATGAAGATAGTCTTATGGTCATCTGAAGAACAGAAGTGTGCTAGAGTCAAAGCTACTCGGCTCTTAACAACTTTCTCTCCAACACGCATCAAGTATAATAAATGGCNATTGTAAAGTTCAGACCTCTGCTGAAAACCATTGCACAAGAAAAGCACTAAAGGATTCACAAATTCACAAATAAAATCAACAAAAACCAGTTTCGCATCTTTTTATTTTTTTCTTTCAATAGCTAACCTCATGTCTTATTTCTGCATTGTTCAAACTCAATTCCACTAAGTCATAATTTTACAATAAAACAAAACCAAGGAGCTAGATAAGATTTGAGAAGTCACTTTGCATGTAACTAAATGTAACTCACCCTTCCATGAATCTTCTCTTCAAGTCTCCGCAGTGTTCGGGCTACGCAATCTCTAGTAGGCTGCAGCAATAGGATTTTTAAAAGATAAACCACAAAATAAGTACAATATATAAGATCACTTGATCAATCAGTTTATAATTGTCTAACTGAAAAGTAGCTGAGCATACTTGGACAATAAATTCAACATCTTGAAGCTTCTGAACACCTCCTACCCTAACAAGATCTGCAATATTATCCTAAGGCAAAGTGGGAGAAAAGAAAAAATATAGGAGAATATCAGGATGAAAGCTCCAGCAAATAAAACATAGCCCACTTAGAAAATTATATAAATAGAAAATAATAAATAAAATAATATTAGAATTATTCAGTACTTCATTGTCCGCAAGCCCAAAAAGAACAAATGCAGCATTGTGTTGGAGAAATTCATTTTTAGACTCAAGAAGCTCCAGTAAGGGCACCATTGCACCACTGTGCACCATACCAGCTTGATTGTGAGTGTCCTGCAAGAGCACGGAAATTATTTTGAGCACAGCAGTGTAAATTTGTAATGATTGCCAATCAATGCCAATAAATCAATAGGCATGAAGACTAGAACAAGTTATGAGAATGAATACCCAAATGTACAAAACAACAGATTTTACCTGAGCTAACCTCCCCAGGGAAAAGGCTGCCATTTCCTTCAATTGAGTATCAGGAGATTGGAGCATTTCTATTAGTGGCTGCAAAGCACCTCTTTGAACAATGTGTACCTACAGAAGCATCATCTAAGGATTAATCGGCACTGGCTAAAATGAGATAGATAACTATTTTAATGATTTAAGTCATGGTTTAAAATAGCTGCATAGGCCTACCTTACAGTCTGAATCTGTTGCAGCAAATTGCCCAATCAACAAAGCAGCTTCTCTTTGGCTTTCAGAACAGGAGGAGCTGTACACACATTAGTTAACACATCAAATAAGAAGCAAAAACAATAATTTAAAAGAAGTTGCATTTGACAACAACGAACAAATAGAAAAGAAAAAATTTAATTTCATATTCTATAAAATGGGGGTGCAACAAAAGGATAAATGAGGATGAGAGTGGGAATGCATACAGAAATACTAGAAAAATATTTGTTCAGTAAATAATGCCAGCACTTATTACATGCAACAATAACAAGAAAGTAACAACACAGATACGTACACCAATCATACCTAAGTAATGAAATGACAGGTTGCAAAGCCCCAGCAGCAAGAACTTCTCTCTTGATGTTTGGAGATGAGTGGACCAAATTTCCAATGACCCCAACCTTCATCAAGGGCATAAAGAACATGAGCATATAAAATAAATGGTAAGTGAATCATGAAGTTCCTGTGAGTAGACGCGAAAAATTGTAAGGTTATTAAACATATAAAATAGCTACCGCTTCATAGTGTATGGCAGTATCCTCAGAATGCATCATCAGTATAAGAGTTGGCAGAGCATTGCATTCCACAATCTGAATAATATTCACATAAAATATATGTTACGAAATACTAAGCATTTACCTCCGGAGTGGGATAAAGTATAAGATGAAAACCTGGTTTTTGTTCTCATCATTCTTAAAAGCAAGGGTTCGAAGGGCTCCAGCTGCAGCTTTTTGCACTTTTGTGTCAGCAAATTCAAGCAATTCAACAAGAGGTGGGATGCCACCCTCAACCCTGTGCACATAAATTTGATGGTTAAAAGACAGACAATATGTATTCAATCACAAAAGTTTACAAAGAAAACCAACCTAACACGAGTTTTAATGTGGCCGTTCTCGTGGGCAAGGTTAGTGATAGCATTAGCTGCTTTCCTAATAACACCACTTACTGCCCAAGATTCTGAAACACCCCTATATCTCTTCAAAAGATCCACCAGAAAGGGTAAAGCACCTGCATCAACAATGTGATGTTGATGCTCGGGCTGAAAAAACAAACAAAATGTCAGTGGCACGTGATGAAAAGATATTAAACCTACATTAACTTACAGTCACGAGATATTCCTATCCCGGGATCTTACTTAAGTGGGAAGGCATTTTGCGTGTCCGAAAGGAACAGAATATTGTTCAACTATCAAAACTGTATCAGAAAAATATGAACTGAGTATGGAAATATTGAAAAAACCCATTCCATCTTTTTAGCAAGAATATAATAAAATCATTTATAGGGTAAAATAAATAAACACAAGAAGAACAAATATTTTAAACAAGAGAGGCATGTTCAGAGAATGGCACATATTGGCTCATGTAGCTCTTTAATAGACTGCTGAAACAACCAATTATCAAGAGCATTTTTTTTCCTATTACAGATTCTTAAATGGCAGAGCACCAGAGTTAAAACAGACTGGGTATCTAGCAGATTAAAAACAAAACAAAAAGGAGCTCATTGAACATTTAAACATGTCATGACGCCCATACAGGCTTTCAGTTTCAACCCAATAGAATTCAAAAACAGCAAAATAATGAGAACATAATTATATAACCAACTTAACACATCCATAAAACTTTGTACATAATTGGCTGTGAAGAATAACCAAGGCAACATAAACAAAATAACTCTGAGGCACTGCAATTACTTTAATGGCAAGAAGCCCAAGTGTGAACGCGCTTGCTTTCTCCACTTCATGCTCGTAAGCTACTCGGCCAGCGTCACCCTCCTCCACCGGCCATGGAGCCCGCAGATGTCGAACCAGCGCAGGAACCGCCGCACAACCCACAATCATATCCACCATCTCTTCTGCAACCACACATGAGACCGAATCAATTAAACAAAATCCAATACATAAAAAGAAACCACATACCAAAGGCAAATTAATTAGAAAAACAAATAAGAAGATAGCTCTGTATCCATTAACAGTCTCCTCCAAAATCACACGTGGAGCATTTTACCCAACAGATCAAACCCCTAAATGCAAAATCCAATAAACGCAAACACGCGGAAAATCGAAAACAACATATTCACTGCGGATGAGATGGAAAATGGAAAACATATTTCCTCGTCAACTCTTTTATCTACCCATTTACCGTTCCTCGCGAAGCCGGAAAGAACGTCGATAGCCTGTTTCACGGCCAAGCGATCCTTGTATGACGGCGAGAGAGCAGAATCGAGGATCTCGACTTGAGCGCGCACCTCGCGCGCGGGATCTTGATGCGGCCGATCGCCGTCGGGATCCTCATCGAGCTTCCTCTTCAAGCTCCGGCGAGACGGCGACGGCGACGGCTTCTCGCGGTGGCGCCGGCCGGAGATATCGCTCTGGTTCTCCATGAGAAGAAACAAGCGACGGAAGAGAAAATATTGGATTACAGTGTGGGATGAGAAAGTGATTGAGAGCGCGTGGGATATTTTAGGGAATTTGTCTGATTTTCGTGCTCTATTTTGTGGGGGAAGTTTAACTAATTTAAGTACATTGGATATGAAAATGGCGGGTGAGGTTTCGGATATTTGACAAAAACACCCGCCCATTTTGAATATTTGGAAACTGTACCCTCCCGCCTGTCTCCAAAGTCTAATCTATAACCGCCAAAATTTTCAAGCTATGTTAGGCATAATGCTTTAGCATAAATTGATGGTCAAAACTTATGTATATATTTAATACTTATTTATTTTAAAAGTTATGTGGTTTGAAAAATAATAAGATCACGTGTCATTATGTCAAATTTTATATCATCTTTTATGTCAATGTATCATGATTCTAAATTTAAATGTATCGACATTTTTATGTCATCTTGTATGTCATACTTTTGAATTGTGGTGGTCTGAGTAATATTGACGTGATGATTGATAAAGGGTTGGGTGAAAGACTATGGAAAGGCCCCATTATTTTCGATCTGTTGTAAGCTTCGGAATGGATCATTGGGCTTGGAAAGGAAGAAAATGAAATAGGAATGATTGTTATATTTAATGTGATGCAACTATACGAAACTCTCAAATTGGTTTGAGAGGTTGGATAAAAAAATTCAGAAGGTCTTGACGTCGCGGTTTTTGCTTCCCACATGTCAGGTTCGTTCTCTCCAAATTTGGTTGAGACTTTGTCTGTTCAGTTTTGGTTACAGCTCGCTTCTACAGTGGGAGTGAAGATCCAAAAAGTCACCACGCATTGTCTTAAACTAATGCAAGGACTGATTGTGAATGATTCACATCACCCTTTGAAAGCGTTTTCTTGAATATCCTGGCACTCTTGGATTCATTAGACCGTGGAATTTGTCATTTTAATTTTGAATAAATAAATGTATTAAACTAATGCAATTCGTTCCAATGGATATTGTCATATTGGGTTCCACATAAAAGTTATGTTTGCTAAAACTAGTTGATAACTGACAAATTAGTTTATAGTTTATAAATGAATTTCGAGCTTATATCTAATAGCAGACTTATGATTGAAAAATTATCTGATATGATAAAAGTATTTTGTAAAATTACAAGATAAGTCAACTGAAATAAAACTTTTAACGGGATTATTTGAAAAATTACTCAAACAAACTTACGAGATACACTCAAACTTTTTAAAAAAACTCGTTTTGTCAAATCAAGTTTGTTTGTATACAAAAAAAGTAAAAAACTTATAAGCTAACTAAATAAGCTATAAACTACTTTATGGTGCTTCCCAAAAACATACAAAATGTTCATAACAAACTTGTCTGATACTCAATTTAATGAAGAGCCTAGTTGCTAAACCCATGGAAATATTTGTGCCCCAAGTACGTTACGAGTTGGGCCTAACAAGGATGAATAGTGTGAAAGTTGAGAAAATTACTCCCAGCACGGGTAAAAAATTACGTCTTCCATATATATGAGTCATAGTTTGGAATTTTATCTATATAAGAACTTTTCTTATCGACCTCCAAAATAGGTGATTAATTGCTCTGTGTTTATTTTTCTCTCTCCTCACTATTTTTATCACTTTCCTTTATCCCTGTATTAACAACCATATTTGGTCGGGTAAATTACGCCAAACCCCCCTGTGTTATATGAAATAGGCGCGCTTCACCCTGTGTTTTGAAAAATGCATGACACCCCCTTGTATTTAAGTAGTTGTTGCACGATTCACCCATTCCGTCCAACTTAACGGAGCGTGCACAACACCTTCTATACCTGCGAAAATTTTATATTTTTTTATTTTACATAATTAATAAATTACCTTTATACCCTTCTGTGCTTTATTGAACAAACTAAAATTTTTTGCTAATAGGAGGAATCGAACCTGGGTGAGATTGCCCACTAAACCAATGAGCCATATAGATTCTTGTGTAAGAATTGTACACAATTACATTTATTATATCAACTCTAAACGAATTAATAAAGTAAAATTAAAATATAATAGGTAAATTTAAAACAAATTAAATAATAATAATAATAATAATAATAAGAGTTTGAGAATAAAAATAATGTAAAAAATATCGTATGATAGAACTTAATATAGTAGCATGAATTGAAATTAAATAAATTATATATTTCTATTATAAAATTAAAATTAATATAAATTTGGAAATATATAAAAATAAAAAAATTAGATTTAAAAATTAAAACAATAATTAATACCGTAGGTGCATTTAATATATATCAAATAATCATAACAATAATAATAATATAATAATAAAATGAAATAAATTAAATTAATATAAAAATAATGAAAAATAAATTATAATAAAGTAAGGTAAAAGTAATTATAGTAGCAGGAATCAAAATTAAATAAATTAACAATTTTATTTATTAAAATAAAATTAATAATATAAATTGTAAATGTATAATAATAATAATATTAAATTAGAAAATGAATAAAAAATTAAAGTAAACTAGTTAAAATAACATGAAAAATATAATATAAAATAATAAAATATAAAAATGTTAATGTATATTATAAAATAGTAAATTAAAATAAATAAAAATATTAAATTAACATAGTAAAATAAAAATATTATTTATCTAATAATTTTTAGTATAATTTACTCTTCGATACCATATTTATAAAAAATTAGAAAGAAATTATTATTTTTAGTAAATAATTTTAAATAGAAATAAATAATTTTTACTTCAAAATTTTATTTAGTAAAATATATTTTAATTTTATATCATTGTATTAAGTTAAAAAAAATAAATAAAATATGATAACTAAGATATAATAAGATGAAATAAAATAAATAATTCAATAGTATAATATGAAATAATACAATTTAAAATAAATAATAAAAACAAAAGTAGATGAAAATAATTTAAATTAAGTACGATAAATATTGTTATTTTAACTATAATTTTAGTATAAATACATTTAAGTTATTGTAATTATTCAATTTATTTTGCATAGTTTATTATATTTTAATTTATTATAATCTTATAGTTTATTAATGTAATTTAATATAATTTACATTATCTTTTAAATTTAATTTGATTTTTTTTTTTTTTCAAACGACATAAAATTCTCATTAAAAACGCCAACCGGCAATGTACAAGAGCAAAGCCCGAATCCTGGGTAACTGAGAGGTTACAATATCACCAATGCAACCTAGACAGGAATACTGCTCGCAACGCGAGAAAACCAGCCACAACAAAACACTAACAAATACTACTACAAAACGACTAATAAAAATAGAGAACCCTCCCAACAGGAGAATACCCACAAAACGACTAATAAAAATAGAGAAACCTCCCAACAGGAGAATACTCGAGTGCGCTCCCAACAGGAGAATTAAGTTGCACTCGAGCCCACTGGAGCAATTCTAGCACACAACAACAAAAAGAAAAACAAACACAAACAACAACACCAACAAACCAACAAAACAAACACGAAAACAAAAACGAAGCAGGAGACAAATAAAAACTGGCCCTTCCTCAGCTAGTTGACACCGCCCCAACCAGTAGTGATCGATCGACACAAGAAAGATCCCGAGTCCAAGTCCCGCTACTGAAACTGCACAAACGCCTAGCAGTAGGTGAACCCAAATCCCAGAAGAATCCCCGAATCGACCCGCTGTTAACCGAAAGGAAACCACAGCCAAGCCAACCCTCACACACGATCCCCCTGAGCACATCTAACACCACTAGTTGCACTCAAATGGACCGGACCCCCGCCGCCTAACACCACTAGCCGAACGGAGGATGGTGATGGTGTCGTGGCCCCTCAACCCTGACGCCGGCGAGACCACCTCCCGCCCAACGCCAGAGTCCCACCCCCCTTGCTGACCCATATCCAGTCAACCTCACCGCAATCCACCGACACCAAGCCGAGAAGCCCCAAAACGGAGCCCCACCGGAAAAGCCCCAAAAGGAGCCCCACCAGAAAAACGCACCGCCCGAGGGGAGCCCCAAAAATCACGACCAAACGCAGCAGGAGAGAAAAACTTACCTCCAATCGAGACCAGCTGACCATCAACGCCACCAATTGCAGCCCAATCGCCGACCGAGAGGCTCGCCCCATCTCACCGCGAAATCGCCGTTGACCTAGGGCACGACATCCCTGCTAGCATCGGAGCACTACGGCAACATCAGGGTTCAGCTGAGGGGCCAGCGGTCAAAGGCGACCACCAGCCGAAGCCGCGCCGCCGCCAAGGAAGGCTTCGCTGGATTAAGAGGCTCGGCTTGTACATGTGTAATGTCTATATATATTTAACGTTCTTAAATCTAACACACAAGTTGGACTGGTGGGGTGGTAGCAATGCTCCTTTTCTCCCATGAGGTCTTGGGTTCGAACCTCATGTCCTGCAAAATTTTTTAAGCCAATTTATCGCGATATTTTCAAAATTTCGTGATAAATTCAATTTATCAAAAATATATATAAAAAATTCGGAGGGTATAACGGGGTTTTCAGTAAAAAATTAACTCCGTTAACTGGACAAATAAAAAAAGGGAGCGTGTGCATCGGTTGCTCTAATACAAGAGGGTGTTATGCATTTTTTAAAACACAGGGTAGTAACGCGCCTATTTCCTATAACACAGGGGGGTTTGGCGCAGTTTACCCATATTTGGTCGGATGAGAAGATTGTTTCTTTTCTAGGTGCGGATCTCGAATCGGAAGAAAGCAATTTATTTCCCCTTGTTATAAAACTTGTAGACTACATTTTTGTTCTAGTGGGTTTGAACTTGGAATAAAAAGTTACTACAATTTTGATTGGGTGAGAACATTTTATTAAGCTCCGTTTGTTTTGAAAGATTTGAAATCCCTTTATTTCAAAAATTTTGAAATATAATTTTTTTTTTTCTTTTGCTTGCACTCCTTGAATTGATGTGTTGAAAATATTTTAAATCAATTGTCTAGCTCGCACCGATGGTGTTGACTCACGGTGATGATGAACCTAAATGATCGTGGACGACGTGGCCGTCAACGATGATAAACAGTGAATTTCAAATGACTAAGTTGGATGAGTCATTTAAAATCCTTTAAAATAATGACTAAAAAACATCTAACATGAATTTGAAATCCTCCAACTTTCATTACCATCCCAACATGCATGAGGAATTGAACTTGTAAATTTGAAATCTATGGATTTCAAATCCCTCAGTAAATCCTTCAATCTAAACTTAGCCTTAGATTTTTTTAAGTTTTGACAAATGTAGTTGATGGACTACTGTATATAATTAGTGCAATAATACATTCTATAATTATATACAATACCGAATAGCTTCAATTTATTTGATGTTTATTTTACTGAAAGAACTACTTTTTCCCATTTTGTTATATTTATAATTTATTTTATGTTTAAAAAAAATCAGTGCTAATTCACATAGATTATCAAAATATGATGCCGTGGATACAAAATATAATATAGATAATCCATACAACAACTAGACATACAAACAAGGAAATAAAAAAGTCAACATAGTGTTAGCCCCACAAANTATATCAGTAATTGTAAAAAATCTTTCATTTTTCATATAGACCCAACAAAATGCAACAAATTTTATAGAACTGAAATACTCCAATTTATAAGCCTAATATGCATCCAACATAAACCAAATTTGAGATCATAATAAATATATCAAATATAAACAATAAGACTACTAAAAATAAACTTAAGTACGTATCCTTACACACGCCAAAAAAAGTGTAATTAAATTTATTACAGAGAGAAAATAAATAAATAATATAATCTTTTAAAGTAAATAAAATATATAGGTTTATAAAGTCAATATAATAATATATAAAAACATAATTTTAATAGAAAAAGAGGGAGCGTTATGAAGAGATATAAATAAAAGATTGGTATGTGTATATGAAAGAGAGTAGTAAACTTAATGAAAGAAAAAATAAATAGAAACAACTAGAATGAAAAAAATAAACCATCATGATAACATAGAAAAAAGATTAAGGATAAATATGAATATTATCATATTTTGTGAATGTTTGATAAAATTATCTGATAAGTTAGCTGATAGCTAATAAGATAACTTATATGTAATTTTTGAGCTTATAGCTTATAACTTATGATTTATAGCTGAAAATCTAGCTTATATGATAAAAGCGTTTGATAAAATTAGTTGGTAAGCTAGTTGAAATAAAAAATTCTACTAGCTTATTTGAAAAACTACCTAAGCTTGAATTTCTTAAAAAAGTTCGTCCTACCAAACGATGTTTATTTGAATAAATGAAGCTTATAAGCTAGCTTATTTGGCTTACCAAACACAACCTTATGTTATGTTTGGCAAAATAAGTTGATAAGCTAGCTGATAGCTGATAAGCTAGCTTATAACTTATCAATAATTTTCGAGCTTGTAGCTTATAGCTTATGACTTATAGCTAAAAAGCTAACTTATATGATAAAAGTGTTTGTTAAAATTAGCCGATAAGTTAGCTGAAATAAAAATTTCAACGAGCTTAACTTATTTGAAAAGCTCAAATAAGCTCGAACTTTTTAAAAAAGCTCGTCCCACCAAACGGAGCTTATTTGAAAACAGGGAGCTTATAAGCTAACCAAATAAACTATACGCTACCTTATCTGTCTACCAAACATAGCCTTAGGATATGTTTGGTAAAACAAGCTGATAAGCTAGCTGAAATAAAAATTTCAACGAACTTATTTGAAAAGCTACACAAAGAAGCTTATCAAATAAGCTCGAACTTTTTAAAAAAACTCATCCTACCAAACGGAGCTTATTTGAAAACAGAGAGCTTATAAGCTAACCAAATAAGTTATAAGATAGCTTATCTATCTACCAAACATAGCCTTATTAATGGTCCGTAACCAAATGAGAGGAGAGAGGGCTTTATTATTATTTTATTTTTTGCCTTCCCTGTATATAGGAACTAGGGAGCCCCATGTTTATGGAATAATTTCTTGCCTTGATTCTCCACACATATATATGGGCCTGGATCAGCTGGCTGGATAAGAAGCCCATGTGTAAGTTAAGTCATTTGTAGATCGTGGGCTGGGCCTGAAAATTGTGGACATGTTATTGTGGACATGGCTGGATAAGAAGCCGTGAAGGGGCTATAACAAAAGTTAAAAAATGGGATAAAAGAGGGATTTAGTTGAGCAAATAAGGGCAAAAGTGTCCAAGAAAAAAACCGCTTATCCACTATCTCTCACTCCCTCGACACCAGCAGCTGCACATAATATTCACAACGAGTCTTCTGCAAAATTTCATTTTGGCATTCTATCGAGCATTTTGTGTGCATTTCAATGGCAGCGACATATTCGCCTGCTTCCCACGTGCGCTCCATCTTCTACGCGTATAATGCTCCCAAAATACGCTTCTCAATCCCAGGTCGAACGCGATGTTTTTTTTCATATTTTTTTTTTTTGCATTAGTTGTATTTTTCGGGGGTTTTGATTCCTTACACTAGCGCGTCATTGAGTTTGGGGGTTTGTGCAGCTTCTAAAATCATGGGTTCTTGGGGAGCGTCCGCAAACTACGTTAAGCTTCAGGCGACGGCAAAAGGGTTTCAATCTCATGGAAAAGCTTTGATAGTCACCCGGACATGGAAGAAGTGAGAATTCGTTAAAGTATCAGTGTTTTAGTTCTAACATGATATGACATTTGTTGGTTCTGTTTAAACTCAAGTGGGTTTGTTCAAATGTTAGATTTGGAGTTAGGTGCGCGACTATTGAGGAAATAGAAGCGGAGAAGTCCATGATTGAGAAAGCTGTTGTAAGAAACAATTTCTTTATTGACTACATTTTGTTGCAGCCTCTGAAAACATGCTAATTGCTAAGAGTGTGGTATCTTGCTCATTGTGGTTTCAGAAAGAAAAGATGGAAAAGACAATAGAAAACGTGCGTTCCCGCTTCAATTCAATTAGGACTGGCAGAGCAAACCCGGCTATACTAGACAAAGTTGAGGTATTGAATTTTGAATATCTTTTTTTATCTGGCTGGATTGAAGGGGCTCGCTGTTTTATACGCTCTCTTTTCTTATCTGTATATATTGCTTTATTTGCCCATGTAGGCTGCTATTTTGTAGCTTATGGTCCAATACTTGATTCTTGAGAATCAATTTATGATGTCTTGTTCTACTTTCATCAGCATTAGTCAATATGTTACGATTATTTTTTGTTGATAGTTCATGTATATGTAATGCTCATGTATATTGTGTAATCAATGTATTGGCAATTTGGGGTATCTGCAATCTGCTTGCTTTTTCATGTGAATGTGATTATCTATCGCCAGTGTTTGCCATTCTTGTTCATATTGAAATTGAATGCCGACAAGAATTTAGTTGTTCTCTTTTTGTTTGTTTGTTTCCATTATGTCTGGGTGTTTTTTTTCACGAAAATAGTTCTGTTTCTCATTAGTCATTACTTTATACATTAAGGAAATTAGAAAAAAATGACTGCATAAATATTTTAATTGCTACCCTTTTTCTTTCCCTATACCTTCTTAGGTCGAGTACTATGGAACACCAGTTCCCTTGAAGAGTATAGCTCAAATTAGTACTCCTGATGCAAGTTCTCTCTTGGTGCAACCATATGACAAATCCAGGTGTAGCTCCTTGTATAATTTCTTTTAAATTCACCGAGTTTTACATTTATAATAGTGATTATGTGGACTTCCTCAGTTGTTGGTCGTAGGGTCTAATTTCAGTGGAAGTTTTCATACGATAATTGATGCCGAAGATATGACATGTTTCATGCCACATGTAACGTGTATTCTCGTTTTAAGCATTTGTCCATTTTTTCAGCTTGAAGGTAATTGAGAAAGCAATTGTCAGCTCTAAACTCGATTTGAATCCAAACAATGATGGAGAAGTTATTAGATTGACCATTCCACAATTGACATCTGAGAGGAGGAAGGTATTATAGCTAAGTAAATGGCGTTAAAATGGTTTTTACTTTTTCCCCTCAACTCAATTTATGTCATGATCGCAAAAAATTTTCGTACCTACGTAGCATATGATGATGTTGAAATTTAAGGTTTTAATTTCCTTTAATTTTATCTCTTGATAATTAGTTAGAGAACATATATTTATCACTGTCTTATTATTGCAGGAGTTGTCAAAGATTGTGGCTAAGCAGGCTGAAGAAGGCAAGGTAAACCCTTTTTTTTCTGCTGCCTATATTGCTGAAAATGTTTGTGTATTCGCGTAATTTTTTTTATTATCGGTCCTTTTCTTTATGTTATTTTTGAAATTATTCAATTTTTGGGAGGGAAGTGAACCTTGAAACTACATTGAGTTGAAAGAATTTCATGTTTGTTTTTCTTTTTCTTGGGAAATCCTCTTCCGGAACCCCACTCGGCTTATAACCTTATCTTGGTTTTGATTTTGTAGGTTGCTATAAGGAATATAAGAAGAGATGCCATCAAATCTTACGATAAACTCCAGAAGGTTCGTCATCTCTCTCTCTCTCTCTCTCTCTCTCTCTCTCTCTCTCTCTCTCTCTCTCTCTCTTTCTCTCTCTCTATCTATTTCAATGTAGCAAGTTACCATTCCTGCAGGAGAAGAAGCTCTCTGAGGACAACGTAAAGGACCTATCAGCTGATATGCAGGTAAATTATTCAGCTTGATGAATTAGTTTAGACAAGTTTAGTTTTGCAGTTAATCCTTTGATTAATGAATAATACGCCTAGTTTGAGTTATTTGTCTGTGACAAGGAAAATATGCATGAAGTCTTAAAGGTCATATCAACACAGATCAATTTCTTTTCGGAATATCACTATTGAAAATTCTATCAAGCTCAAAAAATTTGTTCGGTGTGACTTCATATTTTCACTAAACACATTGGACAAGTCATATTATACTTATGCTCGAAGGGATATTT